ATTTCTCCGATCACAAATGCAGACATGGTTTTATGTTTATGCAGCGCGATGCAACGCAACGCGTAAAAAGACAGTATAAGTCATTATAATCCATAATTATGTCCCCACTGGATGCAACGAATGCCTCGTTTATAATGGGTTTTCATGTTTTTGAATCATCGCTCTGGCCTGACAGGGCATCATCACAGTATGATATGGGCGTAACATTTCCGTCACACGCTTGAGGTATTCGGCCAATCATAACGCACTGGATAGCTGGCCAATCACAGCACACCTTGCTTTTCAGAACGACGAGCTTTGTAAAAATCGATGCGTTTAAGCAAGGCGGGGCATAGAGGAGAAACAATAATGTACAGTATGTGGAAAATAATGTGTTTTTTTAACCTTAAACCGCATAAACATTTCATTACACCAAATAATGTTCTTTTTACTAACATCATATGACCCCTTTAATAATAATTTAAAAAAAATCCTACCTGGAACATCTCTGTTTCTCTTTTCTTCGACCTTTGTTTTGGTGCATGCAGACACCAGGATGTATATGGTTTTTGAGGTTAGCTGTCGTCTCACATCGGTGTACTCCCTCAAAGTACGTACTATGACTTTCCTGAAATGGCCATGAAGAGTTACAAAAGCCCGCTACATCTAAACCTGCATATTGTCATATGACGTTATTTAAATCCATTTACCTTCCTGGAGAATTATAGAAAATCACTTTCTCCTTGCTAGACTGGATCTCATCGATGAACACGCAGCTGTTCTCCTGATCCCACTTCACGACTCTGCAGCCCGCGCGACTCTCGACTGTGAATCCACCAGGAGGGCTGTTCACAAACGACTCCAGCTCGATAACGTCCATAACAAAGCCAGAATGTTCTTTCTTTTGTAACTTCTCGAGGACAAATCCGAGTGTTCGTCCAGCGCGTGAGTCGCCCTTCGCTTTGGTTTGGTGGGCGTGGAGCTGGTTTGTAACTCTGTGCATCACAGCCAAATGAGTCAAACTGAGTCATACTGTAGTCCAGTACAGGGCAGTTCAGCATTGCGACGGGAAGTTTTAAGTTGTATCACCTGTAATACTGATTTAGCGGGGTTAAGTGACCCGGGCGTCCTCATTTTAAACACACTCACACAGACAAGCAGTGTTTTACATCATGGTAAATGGAGTGAATTAGTTCATCTTTCCTATTAGTCACATTCAAATTAGGTAATTTAACCTCCAGTAGTGAAATAGCCTTTCCCTGAGGGAACTGTTAATGCAAGAATTTTCAATAGCTACTGTGTCGGAAAAAACAACTTAAACTAGTCCAAGATTGTTTGCAGACTACGATCTTTGGTTTTAGAGAGGTTTCGGTGATTTTTAGGCTAGAATAGGCTACCTTGTTGAACACCAGTTTGGCAAAGCTGTGACAAGCTTCAACAAATGTAAACAAACTATACGCTGTTTTCAGTCCTGTATAACTTGTATATAAACCTTTAAAGAAACGTATTGCTAGTTGTTTGAAATGTTTTAATTAATCGTAATGTCAGTTTTAACATTAGCCATAAAATCCCCATATTTTTCTGTTTCCCCACAGAAGTAGTTTCCGCTTACTCAGGGTTAGACAAGGATGGTAGCTGCTTTAGCAATTTCAAGCCGTTCCAAATCCAAAACTGGTTTAAATGGTTAAACAGACTACAAGAGTGAAAGAAGTGATAGGCCATGCTGTTTGTGACCTGGTTAACCACAACCACAACTGATTGACCAAATTTTAGACTGTGGTATGACTTAGAATTTCCAATGAAGTATAAAAAAATGGTTGCAGCAATTTCCCGTTTATATTTTTAATATGACTTATCCTGGTTTTAACTACAAATTCCAGATGGCCAGATCAAGAAATCTAAACCAAGTGTTAAAATGGTTAATACCTTAGTAGGCCCCCAAAAAAAGAATACTTGAGCACCAAATCAACATATTGGAATGATTTCTGAAAGATCATGTGACTAAAGCCCGGAATAATGAATGACTGATGAAAAATCAGCTTTGCCATCACAGAAATAAATTACATTTTAAAATATATTAAAAAAGAAAACAGATTATTGTAATAGTATTTCATGATATTATTGTTTTTACTCTATTTTTGATCAAATAAATGCAGCCCTGTGAGCATTAGACTTTTAAAAAAAACAAAAATTTTAAAATCTTGCAGATGGCAAACTTTTGAATGGTAGTGTATACGTATGCAGACATCTATGATAAATCTTAACTTTCACTCGTAAAACAAGATCTACAGCCGACACAACACTTTCAAAAACGATGCATGAGCGTGAACATCAAAAATCAAAGTCAAACGCAAACCAGACAAGTAACAAAGAGAAGTAAAAAATTTATTGCAGTATTTGTTCCTCCACACATGCTGGGGGTCCCTCGTCCCACTGTGGGGTGTAGAGACCCAAACCCTGACCCAATACATCAAAATCTAGATTTACAAAAAACCCTCCCTTCCATGTAGGCGACAGATACTGCATGCTCTGCTTTCAACCGAATAAATTATGTCCAGGAGACTCCATTTTACAGCACAAAAGAAGTAGAACATAAAGCAGAGGAGATGTTTAAAAGTTTATTTCCCTGGAAATTGAGCTAAGCTAAAGAAATCCATCCGGTGCTAGGTTAAACTCCAAGGTCACTTTATTAAGAACATCAACAGACTAATTTCCAACATTCACTTTAGGTTTATTTCTTTAAACAGATTTTTTTTTTCGTCAGAGATATAAACATTTTTTGTTTCTGTTTTGTGTTAAACTATGATACAGTGGAGGGGGGAAAAAATTCAAACAACCAAGTTGCTGCACAACAGCGAAGGAGCTCCGTTTCTTTCTTTTCCGTTTAACTTAAAAGATGTACAGGAATCACATCTACATTTCCAAACAGACCACACTTTTTAAAATCGTCGTTCTTTAATTTGACCAGTTCCTGCCTTGGATCTTAAAACCTGTGAGTCTGTAGTACTCTTTTCTCTCCGACTTAAGTTTACAAAACGTTAAATCCTGATGAAGTTTGGCTGCTGAGAGTCTGTTGGGTGTAACAGTTCCAGAGTTATTACAGATTGAATTAGCTGGAAGTTCCTTCCTTGGCTGCGTACAGTGAACGTAAAGTCTGCACTACTTTGTTGGACAGTTTGTGTGCGCTTGTCAAGGCAATTTTCTTGTAAATAATGTCAGACTCCTTTATAGTGTCCACCCAAGGCACCAGTTTACGTCCGTCGCGTTTCTTGGCCTCCGCCCAGGTGCCGGAGTACGAGCCAGCCATCCAGCGAATGCTGTAGCCTGTGCTTGTCTTCTGAATAACGCGCGCTATCTGCGGCCGGTCCTTGTACTTGGGGCAGCAGATAGCGATGACATCCATGGCTTTTACCGTTTCGTTCATGTGACCTGATGCCTCTGCGGAATCGCCGCCTCTTCTGGATCTCCGTGACGACTAGAAGGGAACAAAAACATGGCGTTTTAAAGTGACGGTAACATTAGACATTGAGAGTCGAATGAAAACATCAGCACCGAGGCTTTCTTACCCCAGGAGCCTTTTCGTCCGCATCACTGTCGTCGTCGTACGAGTCAGCAGCATTATTCTTGGGGCTGGAGCCTCCTAGTAGAGCAGTGATGGCTTTATTTCTGGCGTGGATACTAGCTGAAGCGTCCCCTTCCTCATCTTCCTCATCTGGGTCCAAGTGCTCCATCAGTACCTTAAACTGTGGAGTAAAACATTTAGAGATAGTCAGTTTGATTCATTTTTGTGAATCAGTTCAAAAAATTTTTTCATTTATTAAAATGTCTTCAATTTTTTATTTTAGTATTATTTATATAGTATTATATTAATTAATATGTTGAACTATCTTTTATTTTTATATATCCAGCTTTCATTTTAAATGGGAAAAAAAATCTATTTAGCCAAATTTTTCTAACCTAAAAAAAGTACTTATTTCAAAAATGTATATTTTATTCTAGCTATATTTCAGTTAATGGAAATTATTTTAATAGATTGTTTTAGTTAACAATATAAATACTTTTTTTTTTTTTTTTATTGTTATAAAGCATATAAAAACACATAATTCATATTTTCATATTATGCATATATTAAATTATTAAATCACTCTTCTTTGTCTTTTAATTAATTAATTTGTATTTATTAATTAATTAATAATTTGTCTTTTAATTAATGTTTAATTAAAAACATTAATGATTATTAATACTTAATAAATGGGATGATATTAGTTATAATTAATTATTTTAAAAAATAATAACATGCCCTGATTATTTGCCTAGGGGAAAAAAAACAACAAAACTTAAAAAAAAAAAAAAAAAAACTTTACAAAAATAAAGAAAAAAAGAAATGACAGCTTTAAGCGATTTTCAAGTTATTTTAGAGCAAATAAATTAAAAAATAAATAGAGATGATAAAAAGACTGAAAAAATGTTTCTTTTTATATATTTTTATTTGTATTAAAAGATTTTTTTAAAGGGTTAGTTCACCCAAAAATGAAAATTAGCCCATAAATTACTCCCCCTCAAGCCATCCTAGGTGTATATAATATGGTTTTGAATATGGATATTTTTCTTACAAAAATGCATCGATTAGCTACAGGAGGCCTTTGTTCACCCCCCGGAGCTGTGTGAGACACTTTTTTT